TTACAAAGAACTTGTAACAAAATAAAATACAAATAAATTACATAACGAAAAGTGGTTACAATGATCGCATTCAATAGATGATTAAGATGGTAACTCCCTAACACTCCCTTGCAAATTTGACGCCGGTGAGTAGACAAGTTTGGAAGAAGACATCCGCAAGTTGTTGCGTGAAAGGAATAAACTAAACGCAATAACTACTAGTTACAACTCGTTCGTGGACAAAACGATAATCAATACCAATATGTTTTGTACGAGTATGAAAAATCGGATTGGCTTCCATCTGGGGGTGGGCATAAAAACCGCCAAATTGGAAAACCAAATCGAACCGTGACAAAAAAAAAAAAAAAATCGTAAAATATCGCATTGACCAAAAAAGTCAAAACCGAAACAAAAACCGAACCGAACCGTTTCAAACGGTTCCGGTTCCGGTTTGGAAATATTAAGAACCAGAGGAACTTGACCAAATCGCTTTTAATATAAATTATTTTTTTATTATTATTTTTATATAAATAAGACATTTTTCCAAGAAGACCATGTACATAAGCCCAATATTTTTCGTCACTTCTCTCCCCCTCCTTTGTTGTTGTATCACTTTTCTCCCACTACATTATTTTTCTTCATTCTTTTCCAATATATTATGCATTATGTATATTTTAGTTTTAGTTTAAGACCTACATTTTGGTCTTGATATGAGTCTTTTTATCTTTTGATTTATATTTATATGCACACTTTCTATCTTCCGATCACAAATCTTGTAGATCTAGTGGTGGAAACTCAAATTTACTTGAATTTGTGGTTGAAATATGTGTTTGGTATTAGAAGTAGAAAATTAGAAGAAAAAAAAAACATATATATGATTTTGGTTAGAACCGTAAACCGGCATGAACCGAACCGTTGAAATTTTCCAGTTCTGGTTTCATTTTGAGTGTGGAACTGGATCGAACCAGACCGTACTTACCCTATGGAAGTTCCATCTAAGTGGCAAAAAGATTGTACAATTAAGAATAACCGATGTAGAAAGAGGAAACTGAATTTCTCATAAAATGCCTTGGATCCAAACAATGTCAGCACAAGCATATGGAAGGGCCTGATATTCGGCCTCATCACTAGAGAGGGAGATTGTACGTTTTTTCTTAGCACTCCAAAAAATGAGGTTAGGATCCAAGAAAACACGGTAGCCAGTAGTGGATCGACTGAGTGTTAGGACACCCTGCCCAACCGGCGTCTGAGTAAGCAACAAGGAGAAATGAATGCGTAGAACATTGAATTAATAAACCATAACCAAACGCGCCTTTCAGGTAACGAAGAATACATTTGACAACCTCAAAATGTGTATCACTAGGAGAACTCATGAACTGTGAAAAATGTTGAACAACATAGGCTATGTTTGGACGAGTAATCATGAGATATTGAAGAGGATCGACAAGTTGTCAATAAGGTGTAGGATTAGCAAGGGGCTTGCGATCAGTGCGAGAAGTAGAAGTCCAGGAGGCCATCGAAGTCAAAACTGGCTTGCATTCTAGAAGATTACTTTTCTTGAGGAGGTCAATAGTATATTTATTTTGAGTGTAACTGATTCAGACAAATGAGAAACTTCAATACCAAGGAAATAATTGAGGGTGCCCAAGTCTTTAACCTCAAATTCCACACCAAGGGTGTGAATAAAAGCGGAAATATGGGACAAATTACTACCTGTGAGCACAATGTCGTGTACACAAACATGGGGGAATTAGAGCGATTTTGTACAAAACGAACAAGAAGAAGAAAAGTGCTAAACCTATGAAACCACGTGCGAGGGGATAAATAGCCTTATCAAGCCCGCAAATATGATGTGGTCGAGGATCAGTAAAGCCAGGGGACCGGCGCATATCAGACAAATAACCGTGTAGGAATGCGTTCTTGACATCAAATGTACACGAGTACAAGATTTATACACGAGTTTTTTCCCATAACCATCCTATACTAATGGCAACATAAATTACATAACGAAAAGTGGTTACAAAGAACTTATAACAAAATAAAATATAAATAAATTACATAACGGAAAGTGGTTACAAAGATCGCATTCGATAGATGATTAAGATACTAACTCCCTAACAAAAAGATAATATCAGGAAGATCAAAATTTTAATTTAAATTTGCAAATCAACTGATGTGTCATCAGTATAAAATAAATATGTTAATTAATATTTAAATAATAATTCAATCATCAACATTCTCATCATTTGGTTTATAAAATTTGATTTCAAAATTTGATCTCCCTAGCATAGTTAGTTAATATAGAATGGCGTGGGCCCACCATGCGTGACTTATTTCACTACTATACTTGTTTTTCTTCGTCTTGATGTTGAAATTGCAAAGATATAATAAATAACACGAAGAAAGAAGAATGCTTGAAATTTTGGACATCGAAAATGACATACCCACTTGTCTAAATTGATCTTTTTTCTTCTTAGCAGATTGGACACGGTGGTTTACTTAAGGCAACATCAAGGGAAATTAATTGAGCACTTTGTTCACAGGTGATGCCTTTCCACTGGCAACAATCAAGTGAAGTAGTAGTTACTGCAGTATATACGTCAAATGGAGGAGAAGACGGAGAGCGAGAGAAGGTCTGGAGAGCGCTGCGTTCGTTTGGATCGCAAGCATCATTCGTATACACGTCTACATATACATCTTTGAACAAAAATACATATACATCAAATGGGAAGGGATTTTCATTTTTTTTAAGGGAAAACTAATAAAAATAATTTGAAAATTTTAAGTTTTAATGATAAGGACAAAATAAAGGGTAAAGTGAATAGTATCAGGATTGACTTTTTAATGTAAAAATATGATTTTTCGTTAAAGTGAACAGTACCAGAAGCTTTTCCTTAAAATTCCCTTTTTTAAATGGGAATTAGTTGTGAGACCCACAACACATCGATCTTCAATGTTTTGAACCATTTATTTTTTAAGTTGGACCTCATAGATCATCCTTGCAAAATATTAGCTAAATAGGAAATATTTGAGACATCTAATTAAGTTGACAAACACTTTATTCTATAATAAACAATGAAATTTCTTCATGATAATTAAATAAACAAATGATTTAGGATTAAGTTGAATTTTTGCAAAGAAGATCTATGAATCAAGACTACAAAAATAGATCGTTCGGACCGTTAAAGCTTGAAAGAAAGTGGGCCCTACAACTAGTCCCATTTTCACCCAAAAACTATATATATGTATATGTACTATGCATGTACGTAATGTGGTTTTGTCTGCTATTTCCCAATATCTTCAATCGTGTAAAGATCTTTTATGTATTAGTCTATGGATTTGAAGTGGTTTGGTTTGACCTTAGGCTTTAGGAGTAAACAGCAAACAAAAGACTTCAAAGAGTCACACCGACTTCAAAGTGGCCAAATGCGTTCAGATTACAATTTTTTTTCCCTTTTTGGATAGGACCAATAGTGAAGAAGAGGATAATCGAATCTCGAACTCAAGTGCAACGGTAAATGTTCTTAATCACTTGAGATTACAAGTAAAAAATGTGTGGGTATTTTAGGTAGAAAAGTTTGTTCCAATGAAGCTTTCATCCGGAGTCCAAATATCATCTCCATCCAAGTAAATCCAATTATGAATAATTTAGAAATTTAATTACTAATTTTAGGTGAACCTTGACTCACCTATTTTCTGATTCCTCAAAAGCTTGGTAAAAGCTTTTGAGAAAAGTGCAATTCCGTTTCTTCCCCTTCCGGTCCGGTTTCGTAACCACGCCATATATAAGTGAAATGGGACGTCACTAATGGAGGGTGTAATCATGTGGTTGAAAGTATTTGAGAAAATATGAAATTGTGGTGTAAGTTAGAAGATAATGAGAAGGTATTTATAGAAAAGGAAAATCAATTTTTAAATTTTTTTTTCCACATTTTTTATTAATTTTTTATTAACTTAATTAATTTCTGCCGTTGGATTAAAAAAAATTTGAAACCAACCCTCAAGATTGTGCCATGTGGCACAATGGTAACATTAACATATCTCAATTTTTTCTTTTCTTTTTTAATTTTTAAAGACGAATAATGTGGACCGTTAATCTTAAATCCAACGGTTGATGTTACAGAAGGTTTGAAATTTTTTTTTACCGTTGGAAATCTAATAGTCCAGAAAAAGTATCCGTTGAAATCCAACAGACGAGAATGTGCCACGTGGCCCACCAACAATCACATTTTAGCTGTCTGCACTGTAAGCCCCACCAACTGAAAAGTTGTTGGTGACGCGCACCCACGCGCCTGACACATTTTTTTAAACATGGCTAATGTCATCCTGACGTCAGTCATGCATCATTTGGCCTCAGACTCTCAGGTCACCGATTCAAGCCGGATCTCTCACTCGGACCCCCTTCAACCCAATTGTCCGCATGGACTGAAGCAAGGAGCTAAGGTTATTGGGTAGGAATCCATCGGGCTGGAGCTGCTTTAATGGAGGGTCTAATCATGGGTTGGCAACGTATTAGAAGGTTTACATTGACTTTGGGGTCGTGCTTTGGGAAGAGTTTAAAGCACCTTAAAATGGTTGTTTGATAAAAGTGCTTTGAATGGAAAGTAGAAACACTTTTAAGCACTTGGACAATTTTTTAGATGCAATCAAGTTAAGAAAATTCTATTGAGAGTTATGAACTAACAGATAAATAATTATATTGTTAATAGGGTAAATATCAGTTTACTAACTTCATATTTCATGATTTTCAACATTTAGTACATCAAGTTTTTTCTTTCCAGAGTCATACCTAAAGTGTTAATTTTGGAACAGTCTCATACATTCGTTAATCAAATTGTTAAATCTATCATTAACTGATGATGTGGCGCCTATGTGAATAATGACTGCACGTGAAAATTAAAATTTCAAAAAAAAAACAAAAAAAACAAAACAAAACAAGAAACCCTTCGTCTTCCCCACCCCCACCCCCACCCCCACCCAACATCCCTCCATGTAACAATCAATCCTGGGATTTAAGGGGGAAAAAAAAAAAGTATTTTCGTATTTTCGTATTTTCATTAAATCTGGAAATATTTTCCTTTTTAAAATGATTTTTAGGTTTTAAATAGTGTGCCCAAGGCCCACCCCTGATTTGTCCTCCGTTCCCTTCCCTTTTCTTTTATCTCTCTGAAAAGTCTCTCTCTCCTCTCTCAGTTCTCTCTTCTCTCTTTCTCCCTCTGTGATCTCTCCCTTCTGTCTCTCTCTCGAAACCCTCTCACCCTCCGATCCACCCACACGCACATCCTTACCATTTACCTGCAACACCATCACCATCACCCTTGCGAACTAAGATTCAGAGAAAGAACACCACAAACCCTTCTCTTCCTTTCGACTGGTACTGTTCATCATCTTCTCCGTCGTGTTTCATATTTTTCCGACGTTGGTAAGCTTCTAGAAACCCTTGGGTTGTGTTTTATTCAATCCGAGTCGTATTTCAATTGCGTATGTCCTAATCCGATCTACATAAAAATGACCCATAAATCAATAAAACTAACCATATATCGTATAGCTGACGGAGCTCAATTCATGTTTTACAGTGAAGCTGAACAAGACTGTTGCCACGAAGAAACATGTTGCCGTGAGATTACCTTCAATTGAAAATATGCAAGACGGCATCGTGCGATTATTATTGTCTAGAGGAATGCGGGCAAAGTGGTTCTTGCATAGTTAAGGAAGTCCGTGGACTTTACCTTCCACGCTGTCGTTGCTGCACTGTACCTTCTCCTCCTCCTCCTCCCGGTGGAGAAATCCAAGGATCTTTTTCTCCGCGCCCCGTTTATTCGCCAGAGGATAAATAACATTTCAGTGCCGACAGATCGTGCAGGATGACATGATTGGAATGCTAATAATAATTTCATAAATAACTTTGGTAAAAAATTATATTGTCATCCTTTTCAATTTTGATGTACAAAGTGATGCCGTTATCAATAATAAAAGTACATAATTAAAAGGGGTTTTTCAACATTAATCCTTGAAAAATATTAAAATTAAAAAAAAAAAAAAAAAAAAAAAAACACCTGGTGCTAGATTGTATATTCAATATAACCCCTTAAAGTTTACTTTTATCAAAATTTGTATTAAATTTTTGTTATTTAATGTGTATTTTTATTTAATATCTCCTCATTAAATTTTAATTTTATTAATGTGCACATTTTTAGTTCTTTAATTATAAATGAACATAAATGAGAAAATATTAAAAGAAATTTGTGATACAAAAATATATAAATACATAAGTGTACAAAAATAATTATGCCAAAATATATAAAATTGACTTTTTTGTACCGAAATATTTGCACCTACATGATTGTACCGAAATATATTATAATAAAACTAAATGTATGTATCAAAATGTATTATATTGAATTAATATACCTAAATATCAATACCGAAATGTATGTACCAAAATATAGTATATTGAATTAATGTACCTAAAAGTCAATACTCAAATGTGTGTACCAAAATGTACATACCGAAATGCATTATATTGAATTAATGTACCTATATGTTTGTATCAATGGATATACAGAAATGTTTAAATGTATTAATGTACTTAAATGAAGAACATACAAAATTGCTGTCGGAATATATATTATAAAAAAAAATGAGTTATCTAAATGTAGACATTAAAATATATTATGATGAATGAAATAAAAATTAAATTTAAATGTAATTAATACATTAAAATAAAAATAAAAAGATAAATAAAAAAATCAAAATATAACTAATAAATGAGATGATTAAATGTACTAGGGACTAAAATTGGATTTTAATCTTACACAAGATTATAGTCTAAAACTCATCCTTTTTAAGGATTAAAATGAAATTTTCTATAATTAAAATCTATAATTCAATAAACTCTATGTTTGGAATCCAAAGTATTTCATTCGTTGGCCGCTTAGCACTACGATTTTAGTGTTGTTAGTCTCTACTTATAAGTGAGATTTTCTTTACAAGGTACAACTCAGGTACAACATTCTAAGAACAGTGCAGTTTTCAGTGCATCGTACAGGAAGTCTCTCAACTCAACGTACTTATGTTTCCATCATTAAGAATTTCAATAAGAAATGCTTTAAAAGTTAGAACACAATTAATCAAACAAGTCAAATAGAAAGAACAAACAGTCAATCAAGTGTGCTGTGAAGAAATTGGAGCCTTGCTTTGGTGACGCCATGAATCTTGGATTAATTTGACATGGAAAATTCAAAACCTAGTTGAAACATGCACAATTGACGGGGGACTCTAGCATACAGTTATGTGATGCAAGAGACAAAGAGAAGGACATATCCTCCGTCACACTCAATAATCTTCCATGATTGGCATTACGCTGATCATAAATCTGATCTTCCACTCTTTTGGCATTTGTACAACTAAGTATCCCTCATGGAACCCTTTTCCACAAGAAGCTCAATACCATTTGAAATCTCCTTCCTATATTTTCCTTGAGCCATTGGTACAAGGAAAATTGAATTTCTAGCAGCAGCCCCATGACCTTCATAGGTAACAGACAATCAAACCCTATTTTTTTTCCCAAGCCACCCTTGTCAACATATAGTTTGATATGCTTAATTTTTCAGGGTGACAATTTTTGCACGACATAGAAAAGCTACTTAAACCCAACACAGTTAGATTTGGCACTCCAAGTTTTCTATAATTAGAAAGAAAAATACATTTATGCGGAGTGTAGAATGAGATTTTTGGAGTGCTAATAGCAGTTCCCTAAATAGGTCTTAACAAATATTGTATTTGGTATTAACTTAGACTTTCGCGAATAGATTTATAATTTCTGATATCTAATAAATATCCAGATTGAAAATATTCATCGATCTATAAAATTTTCTCATGGAGGTACCCATTTATTTGCCACAGATACCAATATAGAGGTTAAAAGACAATACGATATTAAATTCATATGTTGTACTCTTGCATTACGATGTGGGTTCGAATTCCATCGGTGAATAATTTAACATCTAACTTACTAATGATATCGCTCGACTAAAAAAAAAAAAAAATCGAAATGTATGTAGTGGATAAACACAATCTCAAAATTTAATTAAACTCACTTAACAACGATAAATAAAGGCATTATCTTAACTTAGAGGTGGTGATCAATCCCATTAAAATAGAATTTAATACATATATATTAAAAACAAAAACAAATGGATGCAAAATCTCCCGACGACAAATGCTATTCCAAGTCATGCATGAAACATACACATTTGTCCCTTCATGCCACTTGGTTATAAGCAAACATCATGCATTTACTAATACTATTCTAAGTCATGCATGAAACCTACACATTTGTCCCTTCATGCACAAGTTGTTTACTAATTAGTATTTACTACTATTTAGCTTGTATCATGACCGTTTTCTTTCTGTTATTCATATGCCCAAGACATTGTAAGAAATAAGGTTGATTATTCAAAATGAATAAACAACTAGTTGCACATGGTCACAGTCAGTGACACTCCTAACTTGATAAAGAAAGAAAGAAGAAAAAAAAAAGGAAGTCGACTTCCAAACTAAAATAAAATGTATAAATATAGAAAATTGTTATTAGCACTTCAAAAATCTCATTGGGCACTCCAAACTTTCTATAATTAGAAGAAAAAAAATACATTTATGCGGAGTGTAGAACGAGATTTTTGGAGTGCTAATAACAGTTCCCTAAATATGTCTTAACAAATATTGTATGTAACATTGACTTAGACTTTCGCAAATAGACTTATAATTTCTGGTATCTAATAAATATCCAGATTGAAAATATTCATCGATCTATAAAATTTTCTCATGGAGGTACCCATTTATTTGCCATAGATACCAATAGAGAGGCTAAAAAACAATACGATATTAAATTCATATGCGGTCGAGATATTTATGAATCTAATTATTAAAATGCATAAGCTCAATGATACATTCAAGTTAGATCAATTCCCGAAGTTTTGGTCAACAATAAAACTGTTTGGGAGTATCACTGATTGTGATCCTGTGCAACTAGTTGTTGATTCGTTTTTAAAAATCAACATTATTTCTTGCAATGTCTTGGGTTTTGAATAACAGAAAGAAAATGGTCATGATACAAGCTGAATAAGAGTAGTACTAATTAGTAAACAACTTGTGCATGATGTTTGCTATACCAAGTGGCATGAAGGGACAAATGTGTATGTTTCATGCATGACTTGGAATAGTATTAGTAAAGTCACACAGGCCAATCAACTTGTTGGCAAATGGCCATTTACAACAATGGTGAAAAAGTGTTGTGCTCTTGCATGACGGTGTGAGTTTGAATTCTATCGGTGAATAATCTAACATCTAACTTACTAATGCTATCGCTCAACTAAAAATAAAAAAAAATCGAAATGTATGTAGTGGATAAACACAATCTGAAAATTTAATTAAACTCACTTAACAATGATAAATAAAGGCATTATCTTAACTTAGAGGTGGTGATTAATCCCATTAAAATAGAATTTAATATATACATATTAAAAACAAAAACAAATGGATGCAAAATCTCCCGACTTCCAAGTCATGCATGAAACATGCACATTTGTCCCTTCATGCCACTTGGTTATAAGCAAACATCATGCATTTACTAATACTATTCTAAGTCATGCATGAAACCTACACATTTGTCCCTTCATGCACAAGTTGTTTACTAATTAGTATTCCTACTATTTAGCTTGTATCATGACCGTTTGCTTTCTGTTATTCATATGCCCAAGACATTGTAAGAAATAATGTTGATTATTCAAAATGAATAAACAACTAGTTGCATAGGGTCAAAGTCAGTGATACTCCTAACTTGATAAAGAAAGAGAGAAAAAAAAAAAAAAGTCGACTTCCAAACTAAAATAAAATGTATAAATATAGAAAATTGTTATTAGCACTTCAAAAATCTCATTTGGCACTCCAAACTTTCTATAATTAGAAAGAAAAATACATTTATGCGGAGTATAGAATGAGATTTTTTTAGTGCTAATAACAGTTCCCTAATTATGTCTTAACAAAGATTGTATGTGACATTGACTTAGACTTTCGCGAATAGACTTATAATTTCTGGTATCTAATAAATATCCAGATTGAAAATATTCATCGATCTATAAAATTTTCCCATGGAGGTACCCATTTATTTGCCACAGATACCAATATAGAGGCTAAAAGACAATACAATATTAAATTCATATGTGGTCGAGATATTTATGAATTTAATTATTAAAATGCATAAGCTCAATGATACATTCAAGTTAGATTAATTCCCGAAGTTTTGGTCAACAATAAAACTGTTTACCTATGAGTTCACCTATAAAACGTGCAAAGGTGATATACTTTTTAACCACAGTTCTATGTATTGTGAATTTTTTTTCTGCAACTTTTGTGGCATATAGAGGTTAAAAGATACTACAATATCAAATCCATATATGGTCGAAATATTTATCAGTTTAATCATTAAAATGCATAAACTCAATTACACATCCAAGTTAGATCAATTCCCAAAGTTTTGCTCCACAATAAAAACTGCTTAACTATGAGTTCACCTATAAAACAGTGCAAAGGTGATATACTTTTTAGCCACAGTTCAATGTAATGTGAATTGTTGTCCTACAACTTTTGTATCTAATAAATATCCACAGTTTCGTACAAAAAGTTATCATGGACTACCATTTTTCTATAGGAATATAGAGGCTAGAAGATTCTCATTTAATTAAAACATACCAAACTCATTAAACACTCTAACCAGACGCTCATACAGATTATTAAGCTAATTAGTGCTCTAGAAATTTAGAGATGTCAAATGATAAAGAAAATGAAGAGGAAGGGATTTGGATGACTACGGAGGAGTAGATGGGGGTGCAAAATGACAACCATGGAAGATGGTAGGATTTTTTAAAGAGAGAGAAAGAGAGAAGGGGATTTGCTCCATGGAGATGATGGACTGGTTAGGGTTTTATTTTTATTTTTAAGTATATTGAGTTGGGTGTAAAAAGAAGTTTGATTGAGTTGAGTTTTAATAAGTAAGGACGGTTTCGGAAATAATGTTGGGTGTAAATAGATAATGATAGATAAATCAAATACAATGTGGATATAAAAAGTAAATTGGATGTTGAGATACAAAATATGGGTTCAAATAAAATTTTCCAAAAAATAAAATGAAATTTGGTAACTAGCACAAGAGTCATTGCTAAAAATAAGCCTACTTTCCATCATCAAGTCCTCCACAATCCACTATTGTTTTTCTTTTTGTTTTTAACAAAATGATTAAAGAGTCTCAACTTAAAAAATAAAAATAAAAAAAAAATAAAAAATAAAGAATAAAGAGTCTTCAATAAATTCACTGTCGATCACGCCGGATCTGAAAAGGAAATATTAATAATCCTTGCAGCATATCCTACTTAATGGTTCAAAAGTGTTAATTAACCTTCAACCTCTAAATTAAATGGACATTGATTTCCTAGATACACACCAAGAAATAGTCTACAGAAATTTGCTGAAGATTAAAAGATGGCCATAGCACAAGAGCTGGTGCTTTTCTGTATTGTCACCTATGCTTTATGCACAGGTCTGTATAATGCTATAGCTTTGTTGGTTCACGCTATAGCTTTCTACTTTCATTAACATATATATATGGTCAGGATCCGGGATACATATTTTTCTAACAAACATTTTGACATATTTTTTTAGGGCTCATTCCGTAATCTCTTTCAAAAATGCAAATGTCTATTTCAATTTATCGATCATTTACTGATCTTCCTTGCAAAGACAAACCCAAAACCATTAAAACATTCATTTATAGTGAAAAAAATGAACGGATATAGTTCGACATATAGTTTTGAATTCGGTTGATTTTTTTATGAAATGATCTTTGAAGAAATATCTAAAAAATAAATGATTCAGATCCTTAAAATATAATTTTTAGTGGAACCTTAGAAAGTGTGTTAGAATGTATGTCAAAACAATGTATGCCTCTCGATCCTAATCCTGTTTCAATTCATATGTCCCAATCTACATAAAACTGACCAATAAATCAATAAAATTAACCATGTATCGTATAGCTAACAGAGCTCAATTGATGTTTTACAGCTTTTCGAGGTGAAGCTTATCAAGACTGTTGCCAGGAAATACCATGTTGCCGTGATTACCTTAAAAAATGCAAGCCGGCATCGTGCGATAATTATTGTCTAGAGGAATGCGGGCAAAGCTGGTTCTTGCATAATTAAGAAAGTCCGTGGACTTTACATTCCCTACTGTCGTTGCTGCACTATAACTTCTCCTCCTCCTCCCGGTGGAGAAATCGGAGGATTCGTTGCGCCCCATTTATTCGCAAGAGGATGAATAATATAGTGCAGGATGACATAATTGGAGTGCCAGTAATAACAAATTTCATAAATAACTTTGGTAAACAACTATTTTGTAATCCTTTTTAATTTTAATGTACAAAATTATGTCGTTATATCAATAATAAATGTACTTAACTAAGACTTATAATTCAATAAACTCCAAGTGAATGTTTGGAATTCAAAGTATTTAATTTGTTGGGCACTTAGTATTACGGTTTAGTAGCATTATTCTCCATTAAGTCAGATTTTCCTTACAAGGTGCAACTCGGGTACAAAATAATTTTAAGAACAATGCAGGTTTCAGCACATCATAAAGAAAGTATCTCAACCTTACGTCATAGGTCCAATTCCAACATTAAGAATTTCAACAAGAAATACTTTAGAAGTTCGAACAGAATTCAATCAAACAAGTAGAAAAAGAAAGAACAAACAGTCAATCCGGTATACTGTGCTAAAGTTGGAACCTTGCATTGTTGACGCCTTGAATCTTGGATTAAATTTGGCATGGAAAATTCAAAACCTAGTTGAAACATTCATAATTAACGGGGGATTTAGCATACAGTTATGTGATGGAGAGATAGAAAGAGAAGGATATATCTCCGGTCACACTAAGAATCTTAGTCGTTGATATTATTGAGCCCTATCCAAGTAATAAGAATTGATTGGCCACGCATGCTTATCATAAATCTGATCTTCCACTCTTCTGGCATTTCTACAACATTGTGTCCCTCACGGAACCCTTTTCCACAAGAAGGTTCAAGACCCTTTGAATTTTCCTTCCAATATTTTTCTTGAGCCATCTGTACAAGGAAGATTGAATTTTCTAGCAGCAGCCCCATGACCTCCATAGGTAACGACAGACAGTCAAACCCTATCTTGTTCCCTGGCCACTCCTGTCAACATATAGTTTGATATGCTTAACTTTGAAGGGTGACAATTTTGGCACGAAAGGGAACGCCTACTTAAACCCATCACAAAATTAGAATGTGGTTTGGGTGAATTAGCCGTTCCTTGACATCAACACGAAGATCATATTAGCTTACATCATCAGCAACACATATCATTAATTTAGCTAGTTAATTAATTTGTCTAGTTTGTACGTTCTTAGTTAGGTCAACTTTGTTCTAATTAGTCAGTGTGGATCAGGACATGTCATGGATTTTATGAGGAATGCTACTAGATCAACGAGTTTTATAAACAAGTGAGTTAGTGTTCAAGTCATTTGATACATGATGAGATTATGACTTGACTATTTTCCGATATAATCACAAATGACATGGCACAAACGCACGAGCTGTTCTGTTCATAACATCACACTCTATATATAGCCCCATAAACATGTGTAGTACTCCTGCCCAAACCCAAACAAAAGCAGCTAACCATGGCCAGGTTTTCGGTCATCGTGGCAATAGTGTTCTTATTTGTGACAGCTTCTTCTGTCAGTTACGCCACCATAACTTGTGATCAAGTGGTAGCTTGGCTCACTCCATGCATACCCTTTGGAGTGTTTGGAGGCGCAGTGCCCCCAGATTGCTGTAAAGGCATAAAAGAGCTGAATGCTGCACAAAACACGACGATCGACCGTAGAATTGCTTGCAGTTGCATTCAGGACGGAGCTGCAGCAATTCCCGGGATTAATTATGACCGGATTAACACTCTTGGTGATGTCTGTGGCTCTCCTTGTCCTTACAAAGTTTACCCCTCTACTAATTGCTCTGCGTAAGCCTCAGCCTCCTCTATGTTTTTAACTTTTTGTAAACACACCACCAAAGTATGGCTTAATTATCAAAATGCCCCTTGAACTATTGCTAAAGTTTACCGTACTTTGGCGACTATATCACTTTGCTCTCATGAACACTCATGTTGCGTCTCAAATTACTATATTTAGTCTAATTTATTATAGTGAATTTTTAACTTTTTCTTACATGGTGTCTACGTGGACTAATCCCTAAGGTCATATTTTGCCGAGATCCACATAAGAAAAAGATAATGATTCACTTAATGAAAATTGAAATAGGGCAACGTGAAATGCAAAATAAAGGTTCAGGAGAAAAAAACAAAGAATAAAGTGATATTATTGTGATAGTTTAGGAAGCATTGGATAATTAATAAAAAAAGCAGTAGCATACTAATTGTATATTTGGGTGCAATTTTTTTCAGGGTAATCTGAATCCATAGGAGGATTGAAGAATGGAGAATAAAGCTTCCGAGAAGACTATTCCTCGAAGCCATATAGCTAGACAGACCTCTTAGTTGTTTAAATCACAATGCTTTTGAGGAACTTATTAATTTATACGGGTCGGATCGTCCTGTATAAGGATGGCAATGTAATCCATTACCATCTATTAATAATATCCCCTTTTATACACAAAATATATGCATTGTCTGTATGTATAAACAATTTATCTATGACATTTTTATTTTCATTTTTGATACAACAATACTTCAGTTAATTTTTTGTCAGGTATTCTCTAGATGATATTGTTCGTGAGTCTTAATTCAAATCTGATGAGTAAATACATCCGGTTTGTTGGAGAACAATTTAGAAACAATAAAATAACAGAAATACAGAACCAAAATACTTATACTTTATTATTCACAAGTACTTGCAATACATAATGCAATAACACAATAATTACAAAAAATTAATATGATACTAACTTGAATGAATTGAAGATAGAGGCTAGCGCAAACGCTATGTCCTTCGAACAATATTTCCGTCCCACTCGTGTGCTTGTGGTTCTACAACGTCTACTCGATCAGGATACAACTACCTAATTCTACAATCCGCACTGGATTATAGAACTCTAGCGAATTGCTTTGTGTGTTTACTCTCTGGAAAGTTTGTACGGAAGATAAGAAGGAAGATAAGATGATTTTTGATGGAACTAAGGACTTCAGTTATATAGGCTCTTTCATACCTCTTCAAACACCTTTTGGATGTATCCAAAGAGATACAACTCTTTCCAAAGAGTTGTGTCTATTAATCAAAATGTTTTTAATTAATTTAATTAAAAACTTAATTCGAAATTAAAACTAATTGATCAGATTAATTTTAATTCATTGGCCCCAAGTGCCCCAAGGCTCTTGTCTTGATTAATTAATATTAATATTATAGTATAATCATCAAGCCTAATCCACACAACCATAAAGCCCAAGCCTTCAATCCATTTCCAAATGGTCCAAGTTCTAATTACTAAGAAAAAGGAATAAACCTATATAAAGGCTAGTGAAAAAATACTGTTGACCAGTGTGGGACAAGAGGGTCTCAAACTCCAACACGGTTTACGGCTACCACAGTGTACCAAGTTTCAATAAGTAACAGGTGACCCTGCCAACAAGACTCCTCATTTTGCAAAAGTCGGAAGGTAGACGTCTACCGAACTTCAATAAGTTACATAAAAAATAAAATAAAATGAAAAACTAGATGAATAAATTTTATGAATAGGATTTTCAGAAAAGCATAAATACATCAGAAAGGAAAAAGAAAAATGTGGCAGTAGTACACAGAGTTACAAGGTATTACATAACAAACAAGATACAAAGGATGAGAATTCTGCCATGAATTGACAGCATCTCGACGCCCATAGGAATGACCTTCCATTCCCAGAATTTATAGCACCCCCATGCACAAAAAATCGACCTCGAACAGACAGATGAAAAGGGTGCCTCCCACTTTTGGGGAACAGCCCTAAGAATAAACAATTAAGAATAAATTCTTGACACAAATTCAATAAATATGGAGTAGCCTCTCTAAATGATCGGATATCAATCTATGAACAAATCTACCAGACAGCGTGTGCAATGGACAAGTCAGCAGGCGAGCAGCTCGACAGCCAGTTTGTGTCAAAAAGTAGAACTACTTTCACTAGCAGAAAGCGAGGGGTCTTCAGACTTCACGAGAGGTGCTCCTTTGCTACCAATGTCGAGTCCCTGTAACTGACCAACAGGACCGTTCTGCAACATATCTGAAAGATGAGTACGAGAATTTGACTGATGCAGGTGTTGGGGTGGCATACTAGACTGGGAATGATTGAATTGTGGCAAATGCATGGTCTGGTGACTAGCCGGTCCTGGTTGTTGTTGAAGCGGAAAATAAGCTGAGGGATGGTTGTATGGCATCTGGTGCATTCCCAAGTTGAATGAATCAGAAGCACTCATCATCTCCCCTGTGGCAATCTTGAGCCTCTCAACCTCCTTCTTCAGTGCTTCGTTTAATGCTGCACGAAATATTTCAAACAAAATAAGTACCAGTTGGATTAAATGGACCATTCTCTTCTGATATAATTAAGAAAAAAGAAAAGTTTCGAGTATCAAATATGATAAAAGTTGGCATGTTGCTCACCATCGCGTAACTGAGCTTGTTGTTCCATAGATTGTAACCGACGCTTAAGTTCTGTGTTTTCAGTACTCAGACCTGTTGTGTCCCTCTGTAAGTGACAAAAAACAAAAAAGTCATAACCTTTAACCAATTAACAAACATTTGTGTATATACGTAAGAAGTGAGCAGAACAACACAGTCCAGAACCAAATGAAGGCTAAATATTAACAGAACATTGCAACAAAGGATGAATTGATGAAGTTCTATTAAAATACTTGCTCCAAGTATCCTTTGTTTTGATTGACAAATACCTTTTTTTTTCTTCCATACTACGTGTCATCTATCAATTTAAAAATATATAACATAGAGCGATTAGCAATGTTGGATCACAAAAATGGCTGAACAGAGATTTCATGTTTGATTTTAAGGCAGTGTTGTCAGTAAAGATGTGCACATGCAGTACATTTAACGAAAGCTGCTAAAATACACTGACACAAACCTGGAATAACGTAAGTTGAGCAGAAAGAGTGGTTGCTTCTGTTTGAAGGGTCTGAACTTTGCGCTCAAGTTCTTGCATATAGCGTGCCTTGCGTTCTTTTGAGCGAGCAGCAGACTGCCGATTCGCCAGTATCCTATATATGACAACCAAAATGTAAGGCTCCCAAAAATCCCTTAACCGGAAACAAATAGAGTTCAAGAAGTTCGTAGGCAACTAGGCACACAAGTCTTGCATGCCACCATGAGTTTTTGAATGTACAAAACACTCGTAGAGCAATAATCTAAATGGTTTGCTTGGGTGAGAGAAAGTACTCCATTGATACATTCTCACAAAATACGGTTATTGAGGAAAAGGAAAACTATGATGCATATAGCATATGAATGAATCTCAAATAGGAGGACGATGGATCTTCCGTTGAACACATTCATACTTTTCCAAATTTTATGCAATATTATTCTCCAAATAGAGCCTTCATGCAGTTCAATTCTAATTAACACTCGATCTCAGTCGAAAGGGAAAGTCTTGAAAACCAAGAAACAACCTACCTCTCGTAGTGAATTCTAGCGAAGGCAAAGCCTTTGATCAGAAAAATAGCTGGTTTGTGGCAACATCAGTTACTACTATGTTTTTATGCTAATTGTAATTAATAACCACATAAACAGTTTCTAATTTGCAGTTTCTAGAATTCAGTTCATTAAATTCAGCATTTATACGTTCGCGTTTTCCATATACCCAAAACCCAATTAGGATTCCTTCTCACATTTCACATTTTCTCAGCATCCAAACAGAATGCAACAAAATAAAGCAACCCAGAAAGAAAAAAGGAAGAAAAAAGAGCATTTTGCAGACCTTTTGGCACGCTTGGGATCAAGGGTCCAGAGCTCGGCGAGCTTATCAGGAGGCATAGCTTTTTTGGCATCCATGACCTCCCCAAACACGCCGGTCGACGTCGACGACCCATCCACCGAGCTGCTATACCGGTGCCTGGACAGCTTCTTCTCTCCTCCTCCATCACCGCCACCGCCATTCCCATTGGGCCCACCATTAGGCCCACCATCGGGCCCATCATTGCCGCCGCTATTCTGATCCGACGAATTATTGGACCCGCCAAGCTTGTCGAGGTCAATGTACGTGGAGAACAGGTCCTCCTCCGATCCCATCTCCTCGAGACTCGCCGTCGACGATCCGCCGTTAAACGGATCCGCCGCCGCCGCGGACTTATCCACCATGTCCTCCGACAGCCGAAAGCTCACCTCCGAGTGGGCCCTCCTGTGGCTCCCGCCGTAATCATGGTGGAGGTGGGACCCGTCCGCGTCTTCCCGGATGAAAGGGGAAGCGGAATTGCCCAACATTGTCGCCAAGCTCAGGGATGTGGACGTGGTGGACGAGGTTGAAGACGACGACGTGGCGGCCGCTGCTAGTCCCGAAGCATTGGCATTGCCACTAATGCCAACCCTTCTGGGGAGCCGTGGGATAGGATTGGATTTGGGATTGGGATTGGAATTGAAGGTGAAGAAATTAGGGTTAGGATTGGATTGTTGGAGGAGGTGTTGATCTTGGTGCATTGGCGGGGTGGTGGTTTCTGTGGACATTGTGGGTTTGTTTGTCCCTCCCTCCCATGTGTTTCGCTCCACTTTGTGTCTTCTGTTCGGTTTCTGTTTTTGTTTTTTTTACTTCCCTTGTTTTGTTTTCTTTCTTTCTTCCCTCGTTCGCAAGAAACACAATGTAAAATTTAAGTCATTATTTGTTAAAGAGATTTTTCAGTATGACCGTGACATAAAATGGTACATCACGTATCATTATATAAATAGTAGGATATGTGTTTAAAAGTTAATAATTTAAAAAGTAAAATTTTCATCACTTACATAAAAACATATGGTGCATCATTCGTATTCCTATCACAACTAAAAATTTCTTCATTTGTCCAAGAAAAACGAGAAAGAATAATGGTAGAGAGATCAATATTTTTTATCAACTCACCTCTTGATATACTTTTTGTCACGTACCATGCATGAATGATTGACGATAACACAACTGCAAAGTAGACCGGCGATCAAACAGGCAAATATCAGACCAATCTTGAAGCCTTGATTGGCGGAATGTGTCAATCACATTGTCATTGTCAACTTACCCAATTGTGGACACTGGTGTTTATTCAAATGGATTTCTATTTTTCTAGTAAAAATAAAGACTATTGGTGGGGTTCATTTTACACTGAATTTTAACGATCTGAATTTTTTTATTTTTTTTCAAGTTGCAGTTTATACATCATCTTTGCATAATATTAGTCAAATAAAAAATGTTTAAGACATCCAATTAAGTTTAAAGAAATTGACGAACATTATGTTTTAAAAAATATTGAATTTTTTGGAATAAAGAATTAAACATAGATGGTTTGAATAATTGAAATTCGACGTATGATGAGTGGTCCATATTTTTACTAAAAAATGAGAACCACTCTAAATAAAGGCTTTTTTACATTATGATATCAATAAGGTTATTAATAATTTATATAAAATAATAATATCACGTAACGATATTATAAGGAAAAAAAAATTACTTGAAGGAAATTCAGAAAAAGAATAAGCCTTGCCCCCTTACTTAGTAAGCTCCGCCTAGTTACCGGAGTCGACAAGAACAAGATTCAAATAAAAAAATGCAAGCTGGCTATGCATGGATGGAGCTTTAATGGAGGAACCATTGTCCATGTGTAGGGGCCACACACGGTTCAGTTTCTGCTCATTGGGTCCATTGGCTACCACTAAAGAGGATGACATCAAATGAAAGGAAAATACTTCGCCACGAATTGAGATTCTCTTTAGATCTCGATGTTCGGAGTCAACGGAATCAGAGATTCAAACTACTTATGCGAGAGAAAGAAAGACTCGAACTCTTTGTGTGGCGGACTAGTGAGATGGACTAATGGATATCTAAGTTAACCGGCTCAGGACACAGAGATCCAAATATAAAATATGTGAGTGGATCTCTTCGTAACTTATATATTTTCATAAAATAGTAGCCTAGCATGCATTTTGTATTTCATGATTTGAGGATGTTTTATATTATGCTTTACAAACTTCCATAATTACGGTTTACAAAATATTCATAATTTTATCGAAATTACGTTTATGAATGGTTACGAATTATTGGATTTGCGTATATGGATTTCTATTGATCTCAAATATGATTTATATTACGGTTTTATGAACATGAATACGATTTATCTTGGATTTATGAGATGAGGCTTTGAGCTAGTGAGCTTCGATGTTTGATACAAGATTTTGAGTTATGTTTTTGGTACTTACCTAGAGGGTTATCATACGGCACATCCGCACACCACGGGTATAGATGTCTATGGCCATAGGACACAAATGATGGAGGAGTGAGATGTGATATATTATATACCCCAGCTTCACTACTGAAAGCAATTTCGGTGTGGATGTATGCTATTTTATACAGCTTCACCTTCGGGTGATGGACAGGTACTGCCTTCGGGCGACTATGATACCCCTAGATGAGTATTTCATTGATGAGATTTACGGATTTTCCTTCAGGCAACGTTTTCAGCATTATTGAGCATGCTTTACAAAGGTTTTGCATGGTATGCTAGGGTTTTTATAAAACCTATATATAGTATTATATATGTTTTCAAAACAAGGGGTTAGTATGTTCATAAATAAAATGTTTTCTTATTATTAGTATTATTATTATAAACTTTGGTCCACTTACCTTTTCTGTTTTGGCGCCTCCTCTAGAGTTAGGATCGAGACACATGATCCCAATGTCAGGACACTTCTGCATAGGTATTCTCGAGTCTTCTCAGTATAGGTATCATTCCTTTGTTCGTATATTTTCCTAAAAATTCTTTCACATTATTCTTACTTAGTTGTATGCTCAGAACATGATTCTGCATCGGTTTATATCTTTCTAATTACATATTTTATCAGTATGCATGTTTTTAAAATGACTTCATCATCCTTGGGTGTCGGTCAGCACGTGCCTACCCTAGTATGTGGAGACATCGAAGTTGGAGCATGTCATAATAAGTCCCACAAATAGTCCATATTTTTACCAAAAAATGAGAACCTCTCTGACTAAAGGCTTTGTTACATTATAATATCAATAAACGACGTTCTTTATATATTAATAATTTATGTAAAACAATAATATCACGTAACGATATTATGAGTAAGAACAAAATTACTTGAATGAAATTCAGAAATAGAATAAGCCTTGCCCCCTTACTTAGTAAGCTCCGCCTAGTTACCGGAGTCGACAAGAACAAGATTCAAATAAAAAAATGCAAGCTGGCTATGCATGGATGGAACTTGAGTGGACGAACCATTGTCCATGTGTAGGGGCCACACACGTTTCAGTTTCTGCTCATTGGGTCCATTGGCTACCACTAAAGAGGATGACATCAAATGAAGGGAAAATACTTTGCCACGAATCGAGAGTCTCTCTGGATCTCGACGTGCGGAATCAACGAAATCAGAGATTCGAGCTACTTACGCGAGGGACAGAAAGACTCAAACTCTTAATTGTGTGTAGCAGACCAGTGAGATGGACTAATGAATATCTAGGTTTATTGGCTCAAGACACAGAGATCTGAATATGATCTCAATTTACTTTGCCACACTAAATAGACTGTTATTGTGATCATTCTCCATTACAAATAAATTACAATTAATACGAGCATACATTTTTTTATGTGTTATTAATCCACCACTTGTTATAATATAGATCGATGACATATCTCATCAACTTGTAGTTTAATTTGTGTTAGATGACATGTGTTTAAATATAATTAAGGAGTTCCTCTCATAAAAAACATATAATTAAGGAGTCGAGCAATATTTTTAAATGAAGTGGGAAGTCAATTTCTAATTGTCGTCACGTACCTTTCCAAGTGGGATAAAGCTTATAAGATGTTGAAAAAAGCTATGAGATGTATGATTGTTGCCTAGGGGCTAGGGGATACAGATCAACAATGACCATTTCTATTTTCTATACGAATAATAAAGGGAGGTGATATTTACACGGCCATTTTAATTTCTCATGTATTTCTCTTTAATTATGTAATCAAATTGAATAAATTAAACAAAATTAAAGGGCATGACTAAAATGGGGTGTGCATGGAACAAAAGATGTGTGTTTATCATTCCCTGTGAGTGCACACACATATAGTAAATTGAATGTTTTAACTTAGGTTTTATATTGGCACTTCATGAATGTCATACTTCTCATTTATGAAAGAATCGTTTTTGCTCAATCTTAATTCTTGTGTGACATTACCCCTTTTTTAGAATTGCGACACATGTTTAAAAGTCCGACCATATTAGCATGTTGCAATTCTCAAGGGCGGAGCTAGAATTTTTTTTCTTGAGTGGGCTAACTGAAAGCAGTACCACAAAATTATATGTTCATTTTTTTACCTATATAAAATTATATAATAATCAACATGAAACAACAACAATGAAATATAAACTTTTCTCAAAATTATAATCTAATCTACAAATTCAAGGACCATATAAATAATAAACCTATAATTAAATCAAGAATAGTAAATAAAGAGATTAAGAATGTACCAAATGTGATATTCATTGGAAAATCTCCATGGAAAGTAAGGAAATTGCAGAGCTAGGGCTTTAATGGTTGATTAAAACAAAATCTTTTTCTTTTTTTGAGTAAGAAGCACAATGGTTAGATTGCATTGGGCAAATAGTCCCTTTTTTTTTTTTGTCAAACGATAGATTTCTTAGATTAGATGTTAAATTAGGCAGCACGCCATGGTGCAAGGGCAACACTCTTCTCCACCACTATAAAAGGATGGGGAATAGAGAGAGAACTCATTTTATTTTTAGCATAAAAAGTATTATTTATTACCTATAATACATAAGTATACATTAAATATTAATATGTATTAAAATTGAATGAAATATATAGACTACATGCATTAACATAAGCAATTAAAGCATGAATTTACAAAAAAAAAAAAAAAAAAAAAAAAAAAAACCTCCTGACTACAACCTATCTAAACCTTGTGGGTGGCTCCGCCATTATCTATAAGGGAACAAATGCTACACCAGGATTAAGAAAATTAGCACAAAGAACTCATTATGAAATCACAAGAGACACAAGTAATACCCCTATTAGAAAATGTACATGAAGAAATACGCAATAACATTTTAAGTGCCAATAACATGCATGTCTCCATCATGTTTGTTTACATATCCGTCAGCTGTGGAAAGAGTCCATTAATTGCTTAATTAGATACGTTAATTAATAAAAAAACCATGGTGACGATCGATGCTGAAAATGAAAGGGTCTTGTGTTCATCGTTTACTTTTGTTATCCCAAACCATATGGCTCAATTATATGTATAATAATCCTTTCTTAATTATAAACTAATCACAATCTAACTGTATTTGGTAGTTAATTAAAAAGGTTCGAACAATGTTCACTCATTTTATGAGAGAATTAATTTTGAAAATGACTAGAAGTTTAGGATGTAAAACGGTGTGTTGAAGTGTGAGAATCAAACACAAAATTTCGAGTGTAAAATTTGAAACATTAATTTATTATTGGTTGAGGTTCTCATTTTTTTTTTTTTTTTTAACAAAAAAGCGCAAAGACTTTTTTATGTCGTGATAAAAGTTTTAAAACTGTGAGGATGAAAAGGTAAAAGAGTCTCACATCAGTGAAATGAGAAACTTTGCAAAGGCTTGCCGGTTGGTTTTATGGCGCAACCCCAACTTTCTATATGTTATCAGAGCATGTTGATTGCTTATAAGATGTTGGACTACTACTCATATTACCAATCAATTTTACGGTGTAACCCAACTTTCTTCATAAACACATACAAGTTTGTTGAAAAGTTAAAGAGATGACTGCTCTCAGATCAGGTCAGAGTTTTGAAGGCCCTTAGATTCAAAATGAAGGAAGAAGAATATGCAGACGTGCTTTTTTGCATGTTGCCGTTTACTCAATTTAGTTAATAATCCATTATAATATTTCCATCACTTTCAATTGGTTTGTTTGTAGCAGCCGGCCATGGTTGAGCATATATTCATTTAGTTCAATCTCTCTGATCATAGCATTCTTCCACAAACATGGAAGCTTTCATTGCAGTAATTGTAGTAACTTTGTTCATCGCTTTTTTCCTTTCAAAATTTCTGTTTAAGGATCAGACCAAAAACCTGCCAGGAGGGTCTTTAGGCTTTCCCTTAATCGGAGAGACGTTCAGCTTTCTTCGAGCACAGAAACAAGATCAAGGACCCGAATGGCTCGAAGAGAGAACTTCAAAGCATGGACCAGTGTTCAAAACCTCCTTGATGGGTTCCCCAACTGTGGTGGTTGTTGGTCAAGCGGGTAACAAGTTCGTCCTTGGTGCTGAGGATGATGTCCTTGCCGCCAAGCAACCTGTCACCCTGGTAGCCATTTCTGGAAAGCAAAATATATTTGAACTTACAGGCTCAAGGTACTTAACAAGCCCTCATCTTATGTTTTCGATCGGGAAATTTTTCTCTTATCTAAAAGTCAAACACTTCATATTTTAAGGTTTATAGTCTGATAACACATTCATGTCACGAATTTGGTCCAATAGGATGACAAATGATTAATATCGTGCGTATTGCAGGTACAGATTGGTAAAGGGAGCAATGGTGAGCTTCTTAAAGCCAGAAAGTCTACAGAACTATATTAAACGAATGGATGGACTGATCAAGACCATGTTACTAAAAGAAACCGAAAACAAAGACACCATAAAAGTTGTGGTCACCATGAAGAAATTTACATTCACCATAGCATCCAGCATCCTTTTCGGCATTGAGGATGAGCGCACTAGGGAGGTTTTGTTTGATGATTTTTCTTTAGCATTCAAAGCAGTTTGGTCTCTTCCTGTTAACTTCCCTGGCACTGTTTACTGGAAAGGCCTAAGAGCCCGGTCAAGGATTGCTAACCAGATTTTGCCAATACTTGAGCAAAGAAAGGAGGCGTTTTCAAAAGGAAAATTAAGCCCTACAAGCGATGTTTTCTCATCATTACTAGCATTAAGAGATGAAAATGAAGAACCTGTTTCAGATGATTTGATCGTGGATAATTATATCACATTGATGGTAGCCAGTCACGACACTTCAGCCATTCTTCTGAGCCTGATGATATGGAAGCTGTCCAGAGACTCTGAGATATACAACAAAGTTTTAGAGGGTATAATATTTCATTAGGTATCTCCTTTTTAATCTTCCCAAATTTCTCACTAAATTTATATGCCTGTATTTTCTTTGCTTGTAGAACAAATGGACATTATAGGGAAGAGGGAGGAGGAAGCAGAAAATAGGCTGACTTGGGCTGAGATACAAAAGATGAAATACACATGGAGAGTTGCACAAGAGTTGATGAGGATTATCCCTCCTGTGTTTGGCAGCTTTAGAAAAGCACTTAAGGACATTGAATATGGTGGCTATGATATCCCCAAGGGATGGCAGGTAACAGCATTTTATATCATCATCTTCAAATATTGTATCAACAAGCTAGAACTAAACTATTTGTTAGGATTTTTTTTACTTGGGGTGTCTAGTGCACGAGAGATTCTATCTTGTAATTAGTGACACCAATTGGCAACTATCTAATAGATGACAGATGATGTACATGACAATCATCTATGTCACTGGTTATGTGCACCGGGATAATATATTAGTTTCAAGATAGTTTGTCTCTCCTAGAGCGCCCCAAAGCCACTCCTAAGTTTGTGCCTAGTTTCTGGACTAGCACTTTTAAAGGAGATCAAGTTCAACTTTCGAAAATGAGAATTAACATGTGAATTTGGTTTTGCAGGTGTTTTGGGTGGCCCATGGAACTCATATGAACAAAGAGATATTTGACAAACCAACAGAGTTTGATCCATCAAGGTTTGAGAACCCATCAAAACCAATCCCTCCCTATGCTTATATTCCATTTGGAGGAGGCCTCCACACTTGCATAGGGAATGAGTTTGCAAGAGTAGAAGTGCTCACTATCATCCACAACTTGGTGACAATGTACGAGTGGTCTCCGGTGTACCCCGATGAAGCTATCACCAGGCAACCAATGCCATATCCATCCATGGGTCTCCCAATCAAGATCAAACCAAGGAAGCCTTAATTACTACACAAGGCTTTGTTTATATGCCTTGCAAAGAATTGATCATTTGTATCTGCATCTCATGGCTTTACTAAGATTTTCCGTCATGAAAATTGGTTGTGTTCACTATATACTTATTAGTCATAAGGGCATTGTAACTAAATCTTTTAGTCATGAAGAGTGATTGTAACTAAAATGTGACTAAAAGTCAGGATTTGATTTTTCTATTAACAAATTATGTTGTGACTTTAGTCGGTCAATGTTTATTTTTTGTGGCTAAATCAACTAGTCACGAGGTTTTTAGTCACAGTCCAATTACAGAGCTTTTTCGTGACTAAATATTTTAGTCACAACGTTTTGCACTTTTGATCATGACTTTCGTTATGATTGAAAGACTGTTTTTTTTTTATATAGTGACTCGTTACCATCCACAACTTGGTGAAAATGTTTTGAGTGGTCAAGGGTGCACCTTGAGGAACCGATAAATCGTAACCTAACCCAGCGCCATATCCATCCATGGGTCTCCCAATCAAGATCAAACCAAGAAAGCCTTAATTAGTACAATGCTTGTTTATGCCTCATGCCTTGTGTTTGATAATATTCGTTTGTCCTTCAAAAGAAAATCTTTTATGAATTCATGAAATTATTGATGCATTATAAAATAAAGTTGGGTTAACCTAACTCTTTTCCTTGATATATCTTACTTTATTACCTCAATTTTCATGGATTACTATAGCCTTATTTGCTCAATCTTGTTCATATCCGGATTAGGGTTTGTAATGTGGACTTATAGTCCAAATGGTAAGAACATTTACCTCTGCATCTAAGGTCATGTCCAAATTTCCTTCCACCCCAATTCTTTTATTGTTTGGCAAAAAAAAAAAAAAAAGTGCTACCCGCAACGTATTTTTTTAGTTGAATAATTTTAATTTTAATTTCTATTCATTTCATCCTTCTTTTTGTAATGATTTATCCGTAAATATTTTTTAGTTATGCGTTTGAGGGAATTGAACTCCAAACATCTCTTAATCTGTTTGTAATGATTACCTACTCTTTCTTACCAGATGTGCTAACCTAGGGCTTTCATTTTATCTTTTGATTGCCAATCTCATAGCATATCTCATGGCCTCATATATTACAAGCTTTCGTTTCTTCAAGTTGTCTGCCTCTAGGGATTTTAAAGCCTATATTTCCCAGCCTAGCAAAGTCTAGGCTATGGAATTAGAGGTGAAAAATTAATCCTTTAGATTGTTAATGGATACTCATTAAGAACCATTTAGTTTGATTTTACCTTAAATCATCATCACCACTACCAATTTTTACTCTATATTATGGTGATTTCAAATTAAAAGGATCTTAACTGGTACTCATTAACAACTCAATAGGTTGATTTGCCACCTCTCTATGTAATATATGATATCTATAAAATGTTAATACAAAATGAAGATACATACACACACACACACACACACACACACACATATATATATATATAATGATGAATTAATTAAGAAAAATCCAACCACTGGAAGAATAATGTTTGGGAAATAACTCAGTGACCATAAGAAAACTGAGAATGTTGGATAAATTGTGGTCTCCAAACTCTCTACAAAGGAAGGTGGTGGCGATGACTTGGTGAATACGGGGAATATGATGAACTATTCATGACAAAAGAATTTGGGCTACTAGCATGGCCTCTGTTTGGGGTCCTTGGAGTCATCGGCGTCACTGGGCTTTTTGATATTGGCGATGTCATTGAGCTCCGGCCGTAGCCTCCGTTGCCGGCACTTCTTCTCGGCCCTTTCTCAGCCCACTTGAGCTCTGCTTGCTTCACCCTAGAAGGGTACCTTGACCAACACCCAAACTTCCCTGCTCTTTGTATGTACCTATAGGCCAATTTACTTGTGTCATAAAATAAACAATGAGACAAAAATATTATTTTATCCGAACATCATATTGTGGAGTTTCTTTCTTCTTGTATTAGGCCACTGTCAGTTTGTGAAGTGCCAAGTATGAAGAACAAAGGACGGCAACGCTATAATACATTTTATTTTGAGAGTTTTAACTGTTTACTTTAACGAAAAATCACATATTTATACTAAAAAGTCAATCCTGATGCTATTCACTTAACCTTTTATTTTATTCTTGAGTTTACCCTTTATTTTGTCTTTATCGTTAAAGTTTTCAAATCATTTTCATTAGTTTTTCTTTTTATATTTTGTAATTTAATGTTACTATCGGCTTCGTCGGTTAGAACAACCTCATTGCCGGCCTTCGTTTTTTTTTCAGTTTTCTTGTTTTTTTTTTAGCTTGTGTAGCCTGCTTGTAATTTATCGTTACATGTATGATAGTTGATGTGTTCAAAAATTCAACATTATGATGGTTTTCATCGTTTTTCTTGAGCATATATTAGTCTCTTACCATTTTTTCTAGTGTTTGACACCGTACCGTCCAATCTATGGTTTAGGAGTGGAAACCAATCCATGAAAATGGTATATCTCCCATCCTAGCCCAGCTCGACTCCGCAGCAGCACGATATTGTTCACTTTGGGACCTGGTTACGCCCTCACGGTTTTGTTTCTGGGAACTCAAACGAGAACTTTCCAGTGGATCACCCATCGTAGGAATGCTCTCACCTGAACTCGTTTAATTTCAGAGTTCCAATGGAATCCGAAGCCAGTAAGTTCTCAAAAGGTCTCATGTTATAGGGAGGGGAGCATGTACATATAAGGCACGTCACTCTCTCTCTGTTGGTTGATGTGGGATGTTACAGTATATTATTCTTTGGGATATTTTTTTTATTAATGGAAGCCAGATAGAGGACTCGGATTATTGAGACGCATTTCAACATTGAAAGAGAAAGTACCACTAACTACATAATAATTGGTAAATTTAGAGCAGTGTTTAAGCACTTAAAGAGCTCAGTCTCAGAATGTTATTTACATAATTAATTAATAACATTTTCACCACAAACCTAATTATATGGTTGATGATTTTGCTATAAAAACTTCCCACATGCCAAAGACTTAAAAGAGAACTATTATTGATACTTTATAATCATCATACATTACTTAAAGTACAGTTTCGCTAATCTATTTCTTTACAAAATAACTAAATTATCTTCATAGAATGCGAATAATGGTTAAAATAAGAAAATTTAAAGGAGTTTTAACGAAAAACCCACGGTACTATTTACTTTAACGAAAAACCATATTTTTACATTAAAAAGTCAATCATGATACTATTCACTTTACCCTTTATTTTGTCCTTATCATTAAAACTCAAAATTTTCAAGTCATTTTTATTAGTTTTCCTAAAATTTAATCATTCTAAAGTTACTCATCGGTAATAATCGTGTTGAGCTCATGACTTGAATCTAAATATCTAGTAATTGTATGTGATAGGAATTCAACTAAGTAGAAAAAAACTTAATCATAGTTTAACTTGACCATACCTTTGGCTGAATCTCCTCCCTAAACACTCGACGCATTTTCTACCTTCTGTCATTTCTCCCATCCCTAGAATCACGCATTGTCTACAATACACTCTACCACATACCTGTACACAAAATTAAATTACTAATATCAGATCCATCGCCATTTCCATACATGTGTTCAATATTTTATCAGATAAATCAAGCATTAGATATTGTAAATTTGTACAAATAACACGTACCAGGCAACGGTGGCGGAAAATATAGATGTAGGTACTGCAAAGGGTGCAGATATTAGAATGGGGAATCCCAGGCCTTCTTATTCCACCTCTCTCTTTCTGGTACATGGAAGCCATGCTCACACCCACTCACACCACTCACATCATGATCAAAAGCCCCCATGCTAGTCTCCAATCCATGCTTCATACCTGAATTACACGTGGGACCAGGACTATTCAGACTCATATGATGACCATTATTAACTGCATGGGCATCATGGCCATGATGCATCCCATGATGCATCTGATGGTTATGATGATGGTCGCCACCGCCCATATATTGACCGTGACCTCCATGGCCATGCTGCATGTCATGGTTGACTTCACGTTGATGACCATGATGACTATTCATATGATGATCAATATGCTGATGATTATAATCATTGTTACTACCAATGTCATATGGACCGACAGGGACATTGTCTTCGTTGTTGTGGTGGCGGTTGCGGTGGTGGTTATCTCTGGATGCTTGCAAGGCACGGTTGAAGTCAAGGCTGGGGAGTTTGGTCAAAGGAGAGGGGGAGGATGCTTGTGCGGTGGATTTGAGTTGAGAGATAGGATTCAATAATAATGGAGTAGGTTTTTTTTTCTTTTCTGATGTAACTTGGTGTAGTTTGAGCTCTGCAAAGTCCTGGAAAGTTAGGTTCACTGACTCATCTGGGATGCCTTGGTACATGTCTTCAAGCTCCATTCTTGCCTTGCTCAATGTTGCCTTGTCCCCCATCTCTACAGTTTTTTAGAGAGAGAGAGAGAGAGAGAGAGATGTTTAGGTTCCAAATGCTTAAGAGTGAATTAGTGGTTGGAATTAAGATGGGAGATTAAGTTGGTTTAATAGGTTCCAATGAGAACGAAGACGGTAATAAAAGGACAAGCTGAAGGGCCGGCCGTGGACATTGAGCAAAAAAAAATTTCTCCCATACTGAAACAAGGTAGGTATTAAGGATTGTGATGTGTATTACAAAACCCCCCATAAAAATGGGTTGAATTGGCCCTCAACTTTGACGCATATAAATTACTAATTATTCCCCATGGTACACTATTTAACTGGTTTGAATGTTAAGCAGGCCTGGATTAGATCAGTTGGCAAGAGAAAGCGCGTTCGACCGGTTGCATTTAAGTGCAAATCATTCCCATAAATTAGAGTAGCTTAGAATGTGTGTATACATATATAATCTTTATCTAAAAAAGCCTATGAATGTCGCAAAATGAATGGTTATTTTGTAAGGAAAATTAACGAAAGAGGTTTGAAAATTTTGAGTTTTAACGATAAGGACAAAATAAAGGGTAAAATGAATAGTAACAGTATTGACTTTTTAATGTAAAAATGTGATTTTTCGTTAAAATAAATAATACCGAGAACTTTTCATGAAAGTTCCCTATTTTGTATAAGGTTGGGATTAAAAACAAAGCAAATTAGCAGGCAAAAACTTATTGTCATTTCATGACTTAACTAATAAAAACAAACCAATATTGACCCTCGTAGAGCGATGGTTTCTTCCTCAATTTTAAATAAAGACTTCTTTTGTGTTTGAATCAAAGAAAATCTGATACATCGTGAATAAATTAGGTTTAAATTTGATTCTTAAACCTTTAGTTTATGAACTGCATCCCATGTTTCTATTATTTGAAGAAAAAAAACTAAATAAATAAACAATAAAAATAAATCAACGCGGATGACGGATATGATCAACCCGGCCAAGAAAAAATAACTAATCCGTGGCCGGCCAATATTGTTTTTGTTTTTCACCTACTACAGCCAGTAATAAAATGTGTGCTGGTATCAAAACATTGGTCTTCACTCTCTTTTTTGTTTGAAAAACGGGGCTAAAAGCAAGAGTCCAAACAAACTTACGCAATAATAAATCTAGACCGGGACATCTCAAGTTAATCCTTATGAATAAAACTAACTAAACAAGAAAGAAGAGTATCAGAATAAAAATTACCTAAATTTAAATCAAGATTATAGGTCGATAAACTATCCGCCACAAAGTTCTTCTATCTGTAGACATGCTGAAGTTTGCATTGCCAAGATCTTGAAAGCAATTCTCGACAGACCAAAACAAGGGGACCTTGCAACACCAAATGAACTGTGACTGTAGAGTTTGATTCCACCAATAATTTATCAATTCGTATTCTCCATGCCAATTGTAAGCCTTCACTCTTTGCTTGGTGAATTTTAACGCCTAGTTGATGAACCAAAAATGGCCGATTAATATTGTTGATGGACAAATAAACTATGATTTCTTGCATTTTGTATCTGTTTGGATTCAAAGATGGAGCAGCATTTTAAAAGAGAAAATTAAACATGAGTATGAATGAGCAAAAAAAAAAAGAAGAGAAGCACCTGTGAATTTCACTGAAAATTTGTAATATTTATCAAGATTAACATAAGAGTTTAGGAAAAGAAAAAATTTGACAGGGGGCACTTCCACAAAAGGGAGTGATTGCGCTGGGCAGCCACATTTTTTCACCTTAAGCACAACCTTTTTTAATCTTGGCTCTTGATTTTCGTTTGATTAATTAATCCAATAACTAAAAAGACGTAAGGATGTTCAAAAAGTGAGAAATAGTGCACATAAATTATTTTCTTTTTCACAAATTGAGATTTGGCGTAGGAGGATCAAAACGTATCAGAGAAACCGGGGGAATGGAATGCAAAAAGTAGGAGAGGCACACAAACAGGTTAACCGTATCGGCCATACTGTTAAATTTGGAATGAAAGGGGAAGAGTAATGCTTCCTAGCACGGAACATAAAACATACTTTGTCATGACCACCTAGCTCGGATTTTCTTGTTTGCTTCGTTCTTTTCTTTGATATATGTTCCCAGCAAATCATTTAGATCTGAGTTGCACGTAAACGAAGCACCGAAGAACAAAAGAAAACTTTTAAACCCAGTTGTAATTGCACCCGACATTAACAGTTAATATAAAAAAAAGATGAAAGCTAGCCGAACCAAAGATGTTGCAGGTTACCGAACCATTAAATCTAAGTGAATCGAGGCGGCATAGACATAAAATCAAAAGTCTAGTGAGAGCGCATCGGAGAGTGAGAGTGATGAAGAAGATTTAGGCCTCAAGTTTAGACAGATGAATCGAGTATGCCAGAGAATACAAAGTGTCGGAAGAGGTTATGAAATAGACGAATTCGTGGGGAGATAACATGTTCTCTGAGAATGCGTCGTTGATGGAACTTTTTTTCCATAGGTTTGATTTCTTTAAGTAATCTCGTACGAATCCGATTCCCGCAACATGGTCTGTTTCAACTTTAGAGACAAAGGTAAAATTTATCCACACGAACATAGCAGACGAACAAAGAAACAAAATTACATTCACTGGCTGTGAAGACTCGTAAAGATGTATAGGACTGCCCTCTATAAATAAAGCCAAATAAAGATATATTTCCGACAAAAAAAGAAGGGGCACGGCCGGATTGTTTCAGTCCCCATCACCTCTACCCTCCAAGTCCCACACCGCTGCCACGGATGAAAGGCTGCCTTCATTACACAAGAGTTTATCAGTCTCCGCAGTATCTTGTGTACGTAAAGATGAACCAAGACCGGCCTGTGGCTCGCACATTCTGTTTGTGAGGCCACTTTCCTTCGTGCTGTTCTTTACTGGTTGTTGAGCAACAGCATCAGCAAGTCTCAACAAGTTCAATCCTGAAACCTGCACATAATTGTGTTTGGGCTCACAATTCAGATCAATTTGTCCAGCGCATGAACTTTCTGCCACGTCAGCTTGAATTCTCTTCTCGCAGCTGCTTCCATTCTCCGATAAGTGATTCATATGCAACTCAATCTCTGTTGACGTACCATTCATTTCTGATTCATCCTTGTGGTCATTATTATCCCTGTGGGCATTCTCCATTTCACGTTCTGATTTGCGTTTCCTCTTGTTCATCATCAGGGTTTTGAAGCGCCGTTTTACTGTCATGCACACGTTGCATGTGCATGTTGGCTTGTGCTTGCCCTTCCCGCTTGGGGGTTGAATACATACTATGCATGTGCAACCTGGGCGATGACGCGGATGTCTGGTTGTGGCTCCAACTGATTGTTCATCAGCGTAATCCACACTATCTCCCAGAATGGCAGCACTAGCACTAGCCAGGGCATCCAAGCCAGAAGGTTCGTGTTCCTGGGCTTCATTATGGTTCACTACGATTCTTCGCTTCTTTAAATCTGAGTGAAAAACAGAAAAACAAAAATCTATCAATGCCTAATTTGACGGATGTGGTTGGGAACTGATAGGTGCATGCGTGTTTGATAAATGTATTATATAAAAGAGAAGGGACACAAGGTTCAAGTTATACCTTTGCTTGGTCTTAGAAGATTATTCAATTCCTTTTGGCTCACCTCCTCTGGTGCAGAACATGAGCACCTGCGAAGATTAAAAATAAACACAATCAATCTTGCATCTCAGTGATCTCATGGAAGAAGATTAAAGATTTAAGTTGCACCTGTTTATATCCCAAGAATTTTCAGAGCACGTCCACTTTGGAGGAAGAAGAACGTCAACAGGCAACCTCCGCCACTTAGAGCAATCATCACACTGAGCCCATTGTTCCTGTCTCCTGGATATAAGTTCCAGATTTCACAATGCAAGAACAAAGTTAGTCCTCAGTTTACAGTAGAGGGCCTACTTATGAGGCGCACGCTCATGTGCCAAATAGCTTCGATCACTACATTTTAATAGTGGTTTTTTTTTTTTCCCAAGAAACTTGAAGATGCTCTTTCATGTGGCTAGGTATAAATTAAATACAGCCCTCTTTCTTGATATGATAAAGGTAACATAACACATTATATCTCAGAAGTACTTACTCAGATTCGGCGATGAATAGAGATCTCTTCCCAAAAACTGGGGGCTCCTGTAAAAAATGAACATTGATCAGTCAACTCACCAAAGAACGCAATGGAGTTTGTAATTTTAACGGATTGAATCTGTCAAAGAATCATAACACACATGACTTCATATAGCAAGAGGGACACTGACTATGACATACTTACATCGTACTCTTCGAATTCATGATCTTCTATAGTGACAATGCTTGGTTTGACACTCAGGGGTGGACGAAGCAAGTCCTGTGCTTCTTCCCATGTCAGTCTCAGCTCCAGAACATCTTCACTATGCAAGAGCAACCTCTTACTTTTAGGCCCAATATTTCGGGCCCTCTTCTTGTCAGAATTCGACACAGGCTTCTGCTGCAGATCCTCACTTGTAAAGTGACTATGGTTCTCATTATCATGCAAACTTGTATCCCCATCAGCCAAATGCAAATGTCCTGATAGAGCATTTAGGTAAGGGTCTTTGCTTCCTGTACTCGTTTGATAAATACTAGAGTGACCACTTCCTGTTACCAGATTCTCAACAACGCTAGGACAGGAAGTTTCCCCAGGAGTTCCATTGGGAAGGAAAGATGTTTGGGATTCCTAATTATTTAACATTTGTGTGGAAATGTCAGATTCCATCAGAACAAAGGAACAGAAACACAGTAGGAAAGTACGAGGGTGAAGAATTTCAAGAGATATGAAATTATGACACTTGACCTGCACATCTAAACACCTTGATGCCTTACGAAACCCAATTACAAGTCTGCCTCCGGGATCTATCCGACTGAATGTCACTGCAACAAAAAGAATCAGATCCAAATCTAGACTTCAGCTGGGAGGTCTTTTTCTATGGCGAAAGGAATGAGAAGCTAATGAAATAACTGGAAAGATGAAAATATGTGGACTTTTTATCTTAATCCTCTAAGCCAGAATATAGTTAAGCATACCAGTATCACCAGCTTGAAGTTGCATAGACTGTATGCAAGGCGTTACTCCTTCTAAAACATACATCCTGCTATTATTATTTGGCCAAAATCTGAACTGAAACGTCCATTCATTACCCTTGACATCTTGAATCCTTATAGGAAGGCCTTCTGATTGAGAAATAGGAGGAAAGTATGCCTGCATTCACTTCCAGTTCATACAAATGTGGCAAAGGGGAAATAACACATACACAAACATGGCAAAAATGTAAGGCAAGGAAACGAAAAAAAATTAATCCCCACCTAAACTCCCGAAACTAATGAATAACATAATCTCGAATTCATAAAATGCCTTCAAAGAAATTAACTTGTTAGTTTTTACCTCAGCACATGCTTTTGGGAGAACCAGACGACCAATTCGACCTGCATCGCTGGCACTCAGTACCTTCTCGAACAGTGGCACAATAGTAGAATTCAAACTGAAAAACATTTAAGGAAAATACTACATTCAAATTGACAGATAATCAAAAGCATATATTTACTAAGTAAGAAGTGTTCTGCACCAAATAGAAATATAAAAGCAATTAAGGATACTCTCCAGCTAATTTCTGCAGCTCTTGGTCAGTAATCCTTGGCCAGTATCGAGGAAGTAACTGACTCTTCCCTCGCCCTTCAGCCGGTGGCCTTGCAACACGCACATGATGAACAGGAGGGGGAGGTCTCAAGGGTCTGGGAAAAATAGGCTGAATTTTTTGCCCCTGTTGGAAGGAAGAAGACGTCTTAATCTGATCTCTTCTCTCCAAAATTCCCCCAGTAAAGGGTTGAGCAAAGTTTGGAGTTGCAGATGGGCCTCCCAAAGTCATACTCAAAGACGGGTCAGAGGATGGCTTATTCATATCTTTGACCTCTATCATTATTCTACCATTGTCTGGTTTGGCAAATGTTAATGATCCAAAAGATGGCCTGCTGATACTTGAAAATCCAGGGCCAACTTCCCCCCTTGGATAAGTAACTTCTTCACGTTTGGTTTGCACAGGAGATACATTTATTTCACCTCTCTGAGATTGAGATGAAAGGTTGGATTCATTAGCCTCCATGACTTGACACAATTGCAAAAGTTTTCCCTCATTAGCAGTATCACTTAATGCTCCATTCTGAGGAACAGTTGATTGCTGATCACTGGAATCACTTATTTTCAATCCACCAAATCCATTTAAAACATCACCGTCCTGAATCTGCACCTAAGAAAATAAGAATCCATGAAATTCCTATAGGTCATCTTTGTGTGTATGTGAACAAGAGTGAGATGCAGACAGGTACACTGTGACAGATAAAGACCAATTGCTTACATATACATTGATTACTGATAGAGGATATCTAAAAATACTATTGGGAACCTGTGAACATTTCACAGTATGTCAACCGTAATATTTTTCCATCTACTTGAATAGGTTTGCCGTTGAGCAAGTGAAAACAGATGAATCAATGTTATGAATATACGTAAGTACAAAATAAGATACATATATGTACATATATAATCTATGTTCTAAAGAATGAAGTTAACTATCAACCATGGAAGCAGATGGGAGAGTTTAATGCAAACAAATGATACGGTGGAGACAAAGATAGTGACTTATAATGGGTATATAATAACCAAAAACTGAAGTTGTTCATACCATGCGAGGTTGAGAAGCACAGCCAATGCACCCTATGACTTATAATGGGTATATAATAACCAAAAACTGAAATTGTTCGTACCATGCGAGGTTGAGAAGCACAGCCAATGCACCCTATACCTCCAAAATCCAGGCACTCATACAATGTCTCTGAGACTATGCATCCACAGTGGAGAGGCTGCACAAAATTGAATAATTTTCTAAGGTAAAGTCAGAGAGAGTAACAGAGTGGTGTGAAGAGAGCTTGAATACTATTTTTTTACATGACCAAACTGCAAGCTAACCTTGTGGCACAAATTGCAGTCCCTCCAACCAGTTTCCCCAGAATGGAATGTATTGCAGTAAACTGAATTCTCATACTCAACTCTGAAGTACAAGCAATGCCATGATCAGCAACGGAAATATTTTTAAACCAACATGGGAAATATGTAAGTATTTATGAGCATACAAAAAAAAACCAACCCTAATTATATGGCATGTTTACAACATAAAGTCTCAGATATTAGTGTGGGAGCAAACAAACAAATCAAAAGAGGATAATTCTTTCCACGATACTAACATCTGATATCAAGTGACTTCTGAAAGACTAATATCCAGTTCAAAAGAGAGTGAAGTCATCTGTTCCCGTTAAGCTTTCAATCCGCATAAAAACAATAAAATACAATTGCAAGTAATATAAAATGCAAAATATTGGAACATCTGAAACAACAGCAACTGATAGGAAAACATAAGCACTTAAGCCTATTACATCAAGATGAATATGGCTAAAGTTAGGTTCTACAAAGGTTAGCTGATATAATTTCGGCTCCAATTACTTGGGAATAAATAATTTCACAATTTTCTTATTCATAAATAAATTAGCCGGACCACAAGGATAGCAAAAACTCATCATACTATCAAAGATACTCTTTAAGGCAACAAAAAGGTAAACAATTTTCTTGTTCTTGCGATTTCTCCTTTACATCAAATAAATTAAAAGATACTAGCTTTTTAGTATTTCTAATAAGGATTTTAATTTTACCCTGATTATATGTTGATCATCGATAATTCCGCTCATTCCTCCATGGCCGACGATAAAAATAGAAACAGTTCATGAACAATGCAACTAGTCCTAACCCACAATACACATCAAATCCCACGTCAAGAACCACAACCCATATTTCCACAATGTCCTCCCAACACCGTATCAACAACTGAACAGCTGAAAGATCAAAACTTTGGTCAGCAAAAATTAAAAAGAGGGAAAAAATTTACCCGCACTTGTAGCAGAGATGGGCAAATCCACCGGTTCGCAAAGGCCAACCTTTCTTCCATTCGTGCATATTGGCCATCCTACACGACGGATTCATGCAAATCTTGGACTCCATCCCCCCAAATTCAAGCTCTCCAAACCCTTAAATCAAACAAAACAGAGCAATCAAACCCAAATCGCTAAAGCTCTTTTGATCAAAAGCTAGAAATTTAAACAGAAACCCCAGCACTAAACACAATCATACACAACATTTGAGATTTGGGCAATTATTAAACAAATACGTAATTAAAAAAAATTAGCAAAGAACAAACCTTGTTTTACCCAAATCGAAACCCAAATCTCGAAAACGACTAGTCATCCAAAAACAGAGCAGAAACCCACTCTGGAAACCAACCGGCCACGGCGGCGGCTGCGGCGGCGAGCTCGATACAGTGAGCTGATGAAGAAGAAACGAGTCAAAACTCAGTCAGCTGGGTTTTACCGTTCACGAACGTAATTAGTGGGGAGTGGGGTTTTTGGGGGTCTGTGTGGGTAAGACCTGGAGAGAAAACGTGCATTTAGAGAGAGAGAGGGAGGGAGGAGAGAGAGAGAGAGTGCATGCAAAGCAACAGATGCATAAAATGCATGCACGACACTTGAAGACACGCCGCTTAACACAAGTCGTCTCCCTTTTTACGCCATGTATTGAAATTTGTATTTAGAGAGAGAAAGGGAGGAGTGAGAGTATTCCTATTAGGACAGTGATGTGATACGATGACCCGATGGTTTCGTTATGGGTTTTTTTGGTTTGGGTGAGCTCACCTGTCAATTGGATTTCTTGGTTTTAATTTTTTAAATGAAACTAAAGAAAAAAGTTTGAAAATTATAAATTTTAACGATAAGGATAAAATGAAGGCTTAAAGTGAATAGTACTATGATTGATTTTTTAGTGTAAAAATATGATTTTTCGTTAAAGTAAATAGTACCGAAAACTTTTCGTTAAAATTTCCTATTTTTTTTTCTAGACCAAGAAAAGGGAAGGACTATTATCTGCCTATATGTAATAGGCTTTTCAAAAAAATTATATTTTTGGTCTTTGTGTTTTACTTTTATTTTCAATTTTAGTCCTCGACTATGTAAGTGTCCGTAATTTTAACTACTTTAATTTAGTGATATTTTTTTACTTGTAAGCAAGATGTATTATGTTTGATTTTCATAAATAATAAGTTTAATATCAATCTATCATAATTTGCGCATTGTATAATTATATATATTGTTTTATTTTAAAAACAAAATTTGACATTTAGACCAACTCCAATTCTTGGAGTAAGTCTCAAATTTAAGCTCCTATTCCCCCCGCCAATTTCATTCTAACACTTAGGCCAATTTTCAGTTTTGGGTTAAAACTTAAAAATGGGTCAAATTTCGGCCAACTTCTGACTTTGGGTTAGTGGAAAAGCCCACTTGTGTGAGTGTAAGAAAGGAAGTTGGACGACAAGCGCTCAAATTCACGCATGCCACATGAGGAACGCGCTACAACTCACTATCAATGCTGCAAAGTGCAACCCCACGCATGTAGGTGTGCCACCCACGTCAGCCAAGAAAACGGAGACCAACAGCTCTTTTGGTTAACCAATGGCTCAAATTCAAATGGGCCGTTGGTTATCCACGTTGGTAATTACTTAATTGGTATATGCATGAGGCATTCTTCCATTAATTATGGTGCTATATATCTTTCGGTATCCTTTTATATCGCATATACTTATTCTGTATAACTAGGATTAATTAGACAAACCAAAAAATCTTGATGAGCTGGACTGGATTATCATCAATCTCTAAGAGCTGATCTCAAAAGATTAGACTTAACATATCAAAGAAAAATTTAAATAAAGAAGAGGATCAAATAATATTAGAATCAAAACTTTTGGAGATCAGAGGATTGTTCCCAGCTAGTACCCAATAATATCAAATCATACATGTTCATATATGATCATATATATCACAAACACCTAAAAAGATGACGAGATATCTGTCACCAATATGATTTTTTCATGATTTTATATGCCTTCTCTGGTTATATATAGATTCCGATCAGGCTCAATAGGTTTCGTGGCTTTTGCTTCTGCTTCTTCTTCTTCTTGTGCCGCAGCATCAATGGGGTTGGGGTGGAAAGATGATGAAAAGCCACATGTTTTAGCTGTCGATGATAGTTTGGTGGACTGCAAAATCATTGAAAAATTGCTCACCAACTCTGCATGCAATGGTACTGCTACTTTAAAGGTTACTTGGTCGTTGTTGTTGGGTCACGGTGGTCATTAGAAGGAGAAGAAATTACGTGGATTGGGTCTACCATTTTTTTGGTACCTTGAATCAATAATGTTATGTGTAAGTTTCTCTCTGTTGTCATTGTATTATTAAACCGAAACATTTAGATAATGGTAAATCAGTTTCATGTAAGTTCTTCTCCATTACGTGATTGGTTAATGAGTCATAGTTTTGTTTTTGTTAAGGAAAATAAGAAAAAAAGGCTTTATGCAACTAAATTAGTACCGCTAAATACTCTTAACTACTTAAGTTACGAGTTCCTTGACTCATTATTGGTATTTTAAGATCAACTAAGAACTCTACGATTTGTTATTACTATTTGGCATATAGTTTTTCAGAAGATTTATTTGTTCATTAAGTTGAATGAGTAGTTGTGGGAGGTAATAATATTTGGTTCTTCTTTTGCATATGGCAGTGACTACTGCAGAAAACGCACATGGTGCATTGGAGCTGTTGGGGCTTGCAGATGGACAACAAAACTTCGGCAACACTGTAAGTGGTTTAGTTCTTGAATCGCATTATACAAAGCGATATTCTAAATTACTCTAATCTACCGAGAGAGAACTTGAGAGGACGACCTAAGTACCTCTTGTTTTTTCGATTTGACTCTGAGATTCAATGCACGTGTCTTTGCAGGTTTCGAATGTAAACATGATCATCACTGATTACTCTATGCCGGGAATGACAGGTTATGAGCTTCTGAAAAAAATTAAGGTAAATACTTATGTGACGATTTTATGCTGAAATGTATAGTGCATAATTGAAAGGTCATTTCAATCATGATTTTTTTTTTTTAATTACACAAACGATATTTTACTTTCAAATTAAATTAAATTGGAAGGAAAATTCAAACTCGAGTGTATAAGACCTGGTAAACAGGTCATACTTATCATATTCATGTCCTACCCGTTATCTTAATGGGTCTTGTCGTGTCAAATCTATTATCTATTCAAACTCTAGTGCATAAGACCTAGTAAACAGGTCATGCTTGTCGAGTTTCTAACCGATAACCCAATAACAACCCAACTTGTTAACGGGTCAAGCTAAAACTTGTTATTTTTGGGTCGTTTCACATTAGGTTAATGAGTCGTGCAAAAATTTGCCAAAGCCTAAGCGGGAGCACATCTACTTTTTAATTATGGCTTTAACTAGAACATTTATCCAACCCTGCCAATCTCCCTCTTTAAACAGGATTCGCCAACCGTGAAGGAGATACCAGTAGTTGTTGTATCATCTGAGGACATACCTACTCGAATCGAGAAGTAAAAATCTTCCCCTAGAAATCTAAATCTATTTCTTTATTTTCTAATTTTGAGGAAATGTATAGCAGTTTATTGATCCCTCAATTTTCTTGACCTGAATAGGTGCCTTGAGGAAGGAGCCGAAGAGTTCTTTCTGAAGCCTCTCCGGCAATCGGACGTCATAAAATTGCAATGCCGTTTGAAGGAATTCGGAAACCCTAGCGATGAAGGGGAAGATGACCTCTATAAGGACATTTAATATACAAGCACAGAATCCCAAAGGGCCTAACATTTATATCCATCAACACTTCAGTCTTGTTTGATTCGTCAAACACTTAGATACAATGTAACCGTTGTTAATTTCTTCGAATCATATTACTATCCGGGGTTTTTTGCCTTCTGCTCCGTTTTGCTACTGTAAAACGTAAATCTAGTAGACCGGTATGATATGCATTACACATCCGAAAATGATGTTTACAACGAAAATGTACCGTGCAGTTTGATTCAACAGAATCCTCGCGTCAAAGGGAAGTCAGCTGTGGCTGCCATGTCGCAAACGTGTTATATCTTCTTTAGGTCGTTGTGTGCAGCTGCCTCCTCCAATACCTTCTGCACACAAAGAAACTGAACATAGCTCTGAAGCATCATCACCCGACAGGACGAGTCAACAAAATCACTTTGCTGTTTACTTTCTTTCTTCGTTTCCTGAGGCTCAGCCTCTTCCATTTCTGTTAAAAACAAGCGAATGAAGCACATTAGCCTGCGACAAAATTGAGAAACAAACATTTGCTGAACCTTTGTTGGCAAGAAACTAAAGGGAAGTTCAAGACAGTTAAGAAGAAACACGTACCTCCGTTGTGATTTGGACATGGGATAGGAATTTTGTAACCACAGTAATCCCTGTCAACAACAAAAACCTCTTAGTACAAATATAGAATAGGTTTTATGACTCCAAGAGTTGGCGAACCAAACATATAAACTCGAGGGAGAGAAAATACTTCAATGTTTGTGTCACATACTCTTTCTTTTGTATTATGCTTCCATATTTCGCTGGAGAGTTCATAGACGACGATGTCTTCTCAACCCGCTCAAGCAAGGTTGGTTTTACGCTTGCTGTTAGTCCCGAAGCTGCATCTTTTACTTCCTCAAATTCACTGTTCTTGTTCCATTGTTGATTTTCTGTGTACAGATTGTTCAGAATACAATGTTCTTCCTCCAGCTTAGATTTTTGGCATTGCTGCGATTCAGCTTTTCTTCCCTCATCTTTGCTGACACTTTCCTGCGCTGATAAATCCGGAGATGGTGTCTCGCCATGAGAGTAATGGGACTCTTGTTTTCTTGGTCCAAAACCAATCTTAGGGCTCATAGGAGAGTCATGAAATTCGAAGTTCCCAGAAATCAAACTACCGGAAGGTGAACTTGCAATAGGTTCGCAGGGTTTAAAATGAGATCTAGGATTGAGATGTAATTCTGGTACAGGACTTGCACTGAAAGGATCTCCAAACAAAATTTTAGAGCCTGCAGATGGGCAGTTTGTCTCTGACTTTTGATGGAAAGAACTGCAACCTGAATTATTGTCAACCGACAGATATCCTTCCTCAGGGAACCAATTGCAGTTTGGGGTAAACTTTTCTTGGAGAGGAGAGTTTGAGTGGTGGAATGGTTTGAACTTCGACGAATCTGGCATCTTCGTGCATGCTCCTGACCCATGTGCAATATCTTCTGGTTGAACAACATGCCTGCTTTTGATCTGTGTCTTTCCTGTAGAAGCTATATTCAAATGATATACTGGGTCAGCGTATGCATTGTCATGTCTTCTCTTGCTCCAATTCCTGGTTGGCTTTGACAGTGAACTATCAATCGCATTGTCCCTCACTGACGTTAAAAAATGGAAAAAAGAACAAATTTATTATGAGTAAAGGTTATCATATTGGCAATAGCAGAAATTTAACTCTGAATCACCACATATTTTCAATTAATATATATACCTGCACTTGATGAGCAAGACTCTTCACTGTTGAAAGACACAGAAGGTAATGAAACATATGACTGTATGAGTCAGAGTAAGGGGTGGGGGAAGAAAATCAACGTTAAGCAAAAGAATGCCGCTAATTACCTCAGCAAGCTCAAATTGTCCCTTTCATTTTCATTCATAAAGCTAGACCAATCTGGTTGCCTGGTTAC